CAAGTTTACAAACCTTGTTCTCTTGTCCTGAGGCAATGAATCCTTCAGGTTGCTCCATATAAATTTCTTCTTCCAACTCCCCATTTAGGAAAGCTGTTTTCACATCCATTTGATGAACTTGCAAGTTCCTGATAGCTGCAATGGCAAGAACTAATCTAATGGATGTTATCCGCATTACCGGCGAATAGGTATCAAAGTAGTCTAGACCTTCCTTTTGTCTATAACCTTTGATTACTAGTCTTGCCTTGTATTTATCAATACTGCCATCAGGTTTCATCTTTCTCTTAAAGATCCAACGGTAACCTAGTGGCTTGCTACCTGGAGGTAGATCTACTAGTTCCCATGTATGATTTTGTAAGATAGATTCTACCTCATTTTTGATGGCTTCTTTCCATTGAGGTCCCTCAGAAGAAGTTACCGCCTCTTGGTAGGTTTTAGGTTCACTTTCCACCACATAGGTGAAAAAATCATCACCATATGATTTTTCAACTCTAGCCCTCTTACTTCTTTTGGGTTCTATCTCTTCCTCCTCGGATTGAGCTTGTTCTTCCTCTCGAACAGCTTCGTTATTTGGTAAAGATGGGCTTTCAACTTCCTTGTTCAAACAAGGAAACACATCTTCAAAGAATGAAGCATTCCTTGATTCCATTATAGTATTCTTGTGTATTTCAGGATTCTTAGAATCATGCACAAGGAACCGATAAGCACTACTACTTTGTGCATACCCAATGAATACACAATCCACTGTTTTAGGCCCTAACTTTTGTACCTTAGGTGGTGGCACTACCACTTTAGCTAGGCACCCCCACACTCGTAAGTACTTATACGATGGCTTTCTACCCATCCAAAGTTCATACGGTGTTTCATTCTTTTCTTTGCGAGGTATCTTATTTAAAAAATAGTTAGCTGACAAAATAGCTTCCCCCCACATTGACTGGTTTACACCTGAACTAATTATCATGGCATTGACCATTTCTTTCAAAGTACGGTTCTTTCTTTCAGCAATTCCATTGGATTGAGGTGAATATGGTGATGTGAATTCATCACGAATTCCATTTTTAGCACAAAAATCAGCATAGGGAGAAACATATTCCCCACCCCTATCACTTCTAACCACTTTAATTCTCTTGTTGAGTTGATTCTCAACTTCATTTTTGTACAAGACAAACTTGTCTATTGCTTCATCTTTACTCTTAAGTAAATATATGTAGCAATATTTCTGCTATCATCGATGAATGTAATGAAGTATTTGTTCCCACCTTGAGTAGGAATTGACTTTAGATCACACACATCAGTGTGAATTAAATCAAGAGGTTCGGTGTTTCTTTTTATTGTTTAGAAAGACAATCTAGTTTGTTTAGCTTCAACACATGTGGGCATTTGTGATTTGAGTCAATATTAAGTTTTGGTATGTATTCTAGTTTAATTAATCGCTTAATTGAGTTGTAATTTACATGTCCTAAGCGACCATGCCAAACATTTGAACACTCAAGCAAATAAGCAGAACTAGAACTTTCATTATTCATTTTGTTTGTCACCATTACATTCAATTTGAACATGCCATTCAAGGCATATCCTTTTCCCACAAACATACCATTTTTGGACAAAACAAACTTGTCCGACTCAAACACTAGCTTAAAACCAAATTGGTTCAACAAACCACCCGACACTAGATTCTTACGAAGTTCTGGAACATACAAGACATCCCTAAGCTTCACTTCTTTCCCCGAAGTCATTTTTAGAATGACATCACCAACACCTTTGATATCCACGGTAGCAGCATTTCCCATGTAGAGCTTTTCACCATCTTCAACTTCTTTGTAAGTGTTGAAAACACTTTTTTCATGACACACATGACGAGTAGCTCCTATGTCAATCCACCACTCCTTTGAATTTGTATTCATAAGATTCACTTCAGAAACCATAGCCGTGAGATCAGTTATCATGGCCACCAACTCCATGTTATCATTCACCATGTTTTCTTAACGGTTTTCCCTCTTAGGTTGAGGGCACTCCGAAGCCTTGTGACTCGGTTGGCCACAATTGTAGCACTTGAACTTCTTCTTGAAAGTTCCTGCCTTGGGGCCTAGATTTTTGCCATTTGCTTTCCCTTTGTGAGGTCCCTTGCCTTTGCTTTTGGAAGTTTGACCAGCTTCCACCATATGAACCTTAGAAGATTCAACTTCACTACCTTTCTTCAAGGCCATTCTATTGTCTTCTTCAATGCGAAGACGCACCACCAGTTCCTCCACAGACATCTCCTTTCGCTTATGCTTAAGGTAATTTTTGAAGTCTATCCAACCAGGAGGAAGTTTTTCAACCATTGATGCAACTTATAATGATTCATTAAGATCCATCCCTTCTGCATTGTTATCATGTATGATGACCTGAAGGTCTTAGACTTGACTCATAACAGATTTCGAGTCAACCATTTTGTATTCCAAGAACTTAGCAACAACATGCTTCTTAGTTCCAGCATCTTCTGTCTTATACTTCCTTTCCAACGACTCCCATAGTTCCTTAGCAGTTGCAACTTTACAATAAACATTGTAAAGTGCATCTGTTAGCCCATTCAACACATAGTTGCGACACAAAAATTCTAAATGCTTCCATGCATCCACAACAGTCACAGATTGAGCATCAGCCTGCCCCGCAGCAATTACAAGAGCATTTTCTGTTAGGAACCGAGCCAGGTTCAAGGTGGTCAAGTAGAACAGCATCTTCTGTTGCCACCTCTTGAAGTTCAGACCAGAAAATTTTTCAGGTCTTTCAGCATGATTAGCCATGATGTTTGGAACCGGTGCATTTGGGTTCACAGCAGGGGTAGCACCAACAGTAGGAGTTCCAGTACCAACGGGAGTTGCAGACATACTGAAAAAAATTCGCAACGACAATCAAATATATTATTACAGGAAAAAAAATTGATAGAAACTCGATTTTAGAATAAAAGAACAGGAAAACGAGAGCTTTTAGAAGAAAGAATCAATCTGTTTAAGACTGTTAGTAAACGTCTTCGATTTTCGTCCTTGAGAGGTTCCTGTAAAGAAAGATTAGATGCAAACGATGTGGCTGAGTCTCGAGTTGGACTCGTTTCCCTTAAACAGATTCGCCGTCTGTTCCCAAGGTACAACAACCTAAACAGTATTGTGTACTGCCGGAGATAACCACTTGCCTGAAAAGATCACCGGAAGCAGGTATGCATCTGTTACAGAATTCAAAAATTAATTACGCAATTAATGCATCTGTTACAGAATTCAAAAATTAGGGACCAAAACTATCAAGTTTAGCAAAAACGATGGTAGCGCGCGCCCGAGTTTTCGGAGTTGCATTCGTGTCCGCAGGTCGCGCCCATACATGAGTTCGGTGTTTTTGGTCTATGGAACCAAGATTTGCACCCCCCCTGCGCGCGGGTTGGAATTGTAGCATAACCATAGACACAAGTTTGTAAGCCTTCCATGCAATGAAGCTTATAAACCTTGTTGAGTTTGGTCTCTCTACCAATGTGGGACTCATTCCCGAATTCCTCTCTTTTGCTAAACTTATTCTCAAATACCCATCTTTGAGTATCGATATCTCATTCACTTATACTCTATTTTGGACATATAATATATCGTTTCGAAGTCCTCATGGAGGAGAACACAAACCTACTTAGAGTTCATTATATGTACAACATATGTATATATTTATATATGTCCAAAGTTAGTAAAAAATATAAATATTTTTACTAAATTTCCAACAAGTGGAAATTATGAATTTCACAATGTAATGAAATAAGTAACAACAATCAAATAGACTATGTTATAAAATACATAGATAACAGAGAGGAGAAGGAAGTGAACAGTGATAGACTAGAATAGAGATTTGTAAAATGAAAATAGAGAAATTGTGTACAAAAAACTGAATTAAGTGTTATTGTATGATTTTCTCCATTTGATAGGGGAAAGTCTCTCCAATTCTCTGTATACTAATTTCCAGAATGAACCACCAACACTTTCACTTCTGTTTTTTATAGTTCTCCTCACCTTTCTAACAAACTTTGGACATCTTAACTGACTAAAGCAGCAAAAAGACTAAACTACCCCTCCGTTATTCCTTCTAGCCTAAGTAGACAAGACAGGTGACCTAACATCAATTAAACCACCCCCCCCCCCCCCCAAAGACCTTCACCTTGTTCTCAAGGTTAAAGGCAGTAAACGACTCCTAGAAGGCTTGAAGTCTTCCCACATAGTCTCGAATAAGGGTAAATCCTTCCATTTAATGATAATTCCTTTGTTTCCATTAGCATTCTACCTTACTTGCAACACACTTTGAAGGTCCCTATAATCTTGCAGATACCATTTGATTGTGATGTTTTCAAAGAGATTTGAGTCTATATGGTTGTAACTTGAGAAAGATTTGATCTTTGGTTTCAAAGATTTCATATTTTCGATGCTTGTCCGCTTGAAATTTCATTATTTGATGTGCTTTGATCAAATTGAACCTCAAATCATCCCATAGACCTCCTTTAAGAATCATCAAAAAAAAATTGCAAAAATGGTCCCTGTGGTATGCATTTTTATGGGGTTTTAGTTCAAACTCCGACTTTTTTGGTTTAGTGGTCCTTTTGGACTAGTTTATATGTGAAAATGGTCCCTTCAAAAATTAAAATGACTAAACTGCCCTCTTGATATGTTTTTTTATATTTTTTTTCTATTTAATTTAATGTTTTATTAATAATAAAATAGGGCCTCTCTCTCTCTCTCTCTCTCTCTCTCTATATATATATATATATATATATATATATATATATATATATTTGGGAGTTGAATGTTCACCACCCATTTTCACTCTAGGCTCTGGTCATCGATCTCACTCTCCCTCTCTTTCTCAAGCTCTCTAAAGACCGATCAAGGTGGATCACCAGAGACATGGGAAGAGGGCCCTTCCAATTGATGAATCGGAGGACAACCTAGAAGAATACAAACAAGATAAAGAACCGGACATATTCCCAGTTTACCCACCTAGATCGTAACAGGATGTGGCGGTGTCATAGCTCTACAATAGCGGCGACAATGAGCGGTGATGGCAGTTTCGCTGCTTCCACTTCCTGTTCCGACGAGCTCGATGAGGATGGAGGCGAACGGAGATGGGTACGAAGGAGGGAAGAAGTAGCGGTGACGACGACATTGGTTGGTGAAGGAAAGAGCTCCGATGGCAGAGGCTGCTTCAGCAGCCTCTGCTACTTCGTTATTGTTTAGGCTCACCGGGAAAGACGAGGGAAAGAAAGAAGCGGCTGGTGGTGACCGGAAAACAATTGAGTCCGTGAATGAAAAGCAGTAGGGGCAATGGCTTCTGGCGGTGGCAGTCGGAACTCTACAGTAATGACAACGGTGAATGGTCGTGGGTGGCAGGCCTTGGCTGTCTCGTTATCTTCTTCGTTTTCTGGGCAGTAGGTCGTCGAGAGGGAGGTAGTAGGAGATGGGAGGAGGTTTGATGGTGTTTGGTGGCGATTCACGGTGATTAAAGCCACCGGTGGTGGTTATTGATGGAGGCAGCGATGATTCTTGATGGTTTTTGGTGGCAAGCTCCCAAAACCGGAGGAAGGCAGTAGATGGTGGTGTTTTGAGGCTTGCTTGACGGATTTAAATGGCGGTGATACAAGGTGGAGTTTTGGTGGATGGGTTCAAAAGAAAGAGACAAAGACATGATTCATCTTTTTGTGTAAACCACAGTCGACCAGGAAGAAAAGAATTCAATAGGTTTTCTTGAGAAAGAGACCCTATTTTTATTTTTTATATATAAATATTTATAGAAAAAAATAGTAAAATGGAAAATAAATATAATAAGGGCAATTTGGTTATTTCAGTTTACTGAGGGACCAAAACCCAACGAAACTACCTTATAGGACCATCAATCCAAACAAGTCGTGGTTAGAACTAAAACCCCAAAAAAATACATACCACAGGGACTATTTTTGCAATTTTGTAAAAAAAATACCATCAAACCTCTTTTAAGGACAAATACTTTGTTGTTACTAAGACGTTGGAAGTGCATGTAATATATATATATATATATATATATATATATATATATATATATATATATATATATATATATATATGTAACGACCCAATTTTTACGTCCGAAAATTTCATTTTAAAATATTATTTTAGAAAACATTAATAAATAAAAACATTGTTTGATCACACCATAACACATCGCAACCATGTTCTAAAAGGTCAAACCATACATCCCATCAAAATATCAGAGTACAATCCCAGTAAATCTCGTAAATACGGAAACCGAAGAGTGTGTGTATGACGTGCCGCTACCGCGCCGGCTCCTTCCCCTTCGGTGCAGAGGTACCTGAAAACAAAACTGTAAACGTAAGCACAAAGCTTAGTGAGTTCCCCCAACGTACCACATACCATACAAACACATAACATACGTACTGCCAGGCTATTCTGGGGTGCCTGACTACCCGGTACGGCCATTCTGGGGTGCCGACCTACCCATACGGCCATTCTGGGGTGTCGTCTTACCCGTGTCAAGCCATTCTGGGGTGCTGACTACCCATGTCAAGCCATTCTGGGGTGCTGACTACCCATCGGTCCTAACAACCGATCCTCGGGGACTGGTCCCCTCCCGCTACCTCTATCGCATAACATAACAGACCAACATACAAGCATACCATCACATACAGCCAGATAATTCTGGGGTGTCTGACTACCCAGCGGTCCTAACAACCGAACTCTACTACTATTGCATATAACGTATCATGATAGCATGTAACATAACAGGTAATAGCAAACCTAGATGATATCACAAAGACAATCATCTATCATACGTCTCCTACTGGTGGGCCGGCATTGTGGCCTTAGACCCACCACTACTGGAAGGTAACTCACCTCAAAGTAGCTGCTGAACTGATCGGGAACTAACTGACTGCTGCTGCTCCGGGAGTCCTCCGACTGCAATTCCCACAACATACTCAATCAAACACTTCTAACTGTCTTTTAGGTAAAATGACCATTTTACCCCCGGTCTAGCTCTAAGCCAATGCTAGAGTCAACTTTCAGTTGACCCGACTCGCCGAGTGGATCTCCACTCGCCGAGTCCCTAGCAAACTATTGTCCTGGGTCCCTGGTTCTACTCGTCGAGTTGGGCTATGACTCGACGAGTTCATCTTCTAACTGTCATTCAACTCCTTCATCCTACTCGCCGAGTTATATGAACAACTCGTCGAGTTCATCTTCATCCGAAGAACACTTATTCTAAGACTCGACGAGTTGTATGAACAACTCGCCGAGTCTGTTCTTGATCTATGAAGATTGCCTTGGACTCGCCGAGTCAGGGCATTGACTCGCCGAGTCCTATCATGGGTGAGTTCAGCTCCCAACTCACCGAGTCACCCCTTGTGACTCACGGCTCAACTCGATACATCATGAAGGGACCAATTCGGTGACTCGCGACCAGACTCGCCGAGTCACCTATACGACTCGCCGAGTCGTCGCCATGCATCCACCAAATACACCGATTTAATCGATTTCAGTCCATGCCATTCATAGATCTGGACTTCTAGGACACAAATCACACGTAAAGTTTCCAACTTTACGTGTGGATACTCACTAATATGGATTTAAAGGTTCAAAATGCCTCAAAAGGGTAGATCTAGGATGGACAAGCCACATGGGGCCATAAAGTTAACAGATCTGAGCTCCTGGAGCTCAATCTTGCCTAGATCTAAAGGTCAATCCACTTATTACGAAACATTAAGCACAAACAAGCTTGGGGAATTGCTCAAGAGTGTCTCAAATGAAATCTTAAGCATAGAAACAGGGGAAAAACGAGTTATACCTCAATGATACAGCTGAAAAACACAATGATGCTTGGATGGCTTTCCTTTCTCTTGATCTCCTTCCCCTTCTTGCCTCAAAACCTTCAAGAATGCACACAAGAGCCTCAACTACACAAGAAACAAGCTTAGGACGAGGGTTGGGAGCTCTGGGGGTGAATGGGGGCTGGCAAGGGGCAGATATGAGGTTTAAATAGGGAGCAAACCCCTGAAACTTAGGGTTTCATCCAACAGCGGTGACTCGCCGAGTCCAGGATATGGACTCGCCGAGTCGCCAACTTAAACGTGTCCTGAGTCTCGTCCCTACTCGGCGAGTCGGACCTTGTGACTCGCCGAGTCCAAGGCTAAAATAGGGCAATACTTCAAATAAAATTCACATACCGGAAACCAGGTGCTACAATATATATTAAATCTAAAGGAAGTTAGCAATAGTAACTTTTATATTTTTAGGTTTTTACCATGAATGTTTATTAAATTTGACACTTTTAGTCGTTAAAGTAAAAACTTTTACATTTTTGTGTTTCGATTAAGTTTTTGTGTTTTTAGGGTTTTGCCACAAATCTTTAGTAACTTTGACACTTTTTATCCTTGTAGGGAAAACTTTTATATTTTTGTGTTTTTTCCACTAATCGTTAATGAATTTTAAACTTTTCGTTCTTTTAGTCAAAACTTTTACATTTTGACATAAAAAAACACAAAAAATATCCTTTAGAATTTTGCCACCATATTTTCCCAACTTTTGCAACTTTCACTTTATTGCCACAATATTTTTGGATTTTCTCCACCAGAATCCCTTCTTTTGGTTGTTTTACACTTTTGAAATCTAATTTTAGAGGTTGTCGACTTTCTCTCCTATTTGTGGTGATTTACACTTTCAACGCATATTTTTTAAAGTTTGTCGATTTTTCCCATATTACCTAAAAGTGGCGTAGCCGCGTGTTCTTAGCTAGTTATTATTATTATTATTATTATTATTATTATTATTATTATTATTGAGAATCCTTAGGTTGTTTGTTTATTCAATGTGGTGATTTTTTTATAGTTTATTATTTCATGAATTATTATTATTATTATTATTATTATTATTATTATTATGTTTTGGGAATCCTTAGGTTGTTTGTTTGTTCGGTGATTTTTTTATAGTTTATTATTTCTAGAATCTGATTTATAAATTTGCAATAGAAGATTGAAAAATATATTATAGAGAGATTAAATATTATTTTATTTTTTTTCTATCTATCCTTTTACCCATATTAAATGTTGACAAACGGATTAAAATCTCATTAATTTCTTAAATGTGACACATGTATTTGATATTGTTATTATTATTATTATTATTATGTATTGGGAATCCTTAGTTGTTTATTTGTTCAATTTGGTGATTTTTTTTATAGTTTATTATTTCAAGAATCTGATTTATAAATTTGCAATAGAAGATTGAAAAATATATTATAGAGAGATTAAATATTATTTTACATTTTTTTCCTATCTATCCTCTTACACATATTAAATGTTGACACCTGGATTAAAATCTCATTACTTTCATTAAATATGACACATGTATTTGATATCGGTAGGAAGATGAGTAGAAAAAAATATAATTAAAATAAGTAAAAGTAAGATTATTGCCTTTGTTACAAACATGTAATTAACATAACGTTAATTATACATTTTTGTAAATAAAGAAGATTTGCATTAATCATAGAAATGTTGCTCGGATCCTTGGTAAAATAAGGTAAATTATAGGGTAAAACTATAAAAACTCGTAAGATCTTTCTTGCAAGTTTTACTTAATGAAAAGAGAAATATTTTTTTTTAAATAGTTTAAAGTTGAATGTCATATTTTTTTTTTCATGTATGTATCCTAAAATATCATTAATTTTATCTAAATAGTCACATTTCATGTGAGTAAAAAGATAAGGAGAAAGAAAATATAAGAGGATTTTTAATTTCTCATTCTATATAAAACGTCTGGTTTTGCTAATACTTTTGTAGCAACACTTTTGTACTTTTTTTGTAAAACAAGGAAAAATGATCAAATCGTAAAAACTCAAAAAATATAAATAAATAAATAAATAATGAAGGGTTTCTTCTTATTGATAGGACAAAACTGAAATATTTAATGATATTTATCTCAAAGGCACTAAAAAATTATTGTTATCGCCAATATAGACCCAAGAAAACCCTATCATCAAATGAAAACTTAGTATGTGCATGTATTATATGCATGTATATTTTTCTACTATTTTGATAAAAACATACTTTACAATCCCTCATCTTCTTTGTATCGTCATCATCTGATTTGAGTTCTCCCCAATGACCACATATTAAATGTTGAGAGATGGATTAAAATCTCATTACTTTCATTAAATATGACACATGTATTTGATATCGGTAGGAAGATAAGTAGGAAAAAAATATAATTAAAATAAGTAAAAGTAAGATTATTTCCCTAGTTACAAACATGTAATTACAGTAACATTAATTATACATTTTTGTAAATAAAGAAGATTTGCATTAATCATAGATATGTTGCTCGGATCCTTGGTAAAATAAGGTAAATTATAGGGTAAAACTATAAAAACTCTTAAGATCTTTCTTGTAAGTTTTACTTAATGAAAAGAGAAATATTTTTTATTGACAATTTTTAAATAGTTTCAAGTTGAATGTCATATTTTTTTTTTCATGTATGTATCCTAAAATATCATTAATTTTATCTAAATAGTCATATTTCATGTGAGTAAAAAGATAAGGAGAAAGAAAATATAAGAGGATATTTAATTTCTCATTCTATATAAAACGTCTGATTTTGCTAATACTTTTGTAGCAACACTTTTATACTTTTTTTGTA